CCCGTCCCGAGCCGCGATCACTCCCCCCGAGCCGCGATCACACAGCCCGAGCTGCGATCACTCTGCCCGCGACCGACCGACCGAACAACCCCCCCGAGCATGACGTTATATGGTATGGAATAGCTCTTTGGACAGTTTGGGTTAGCTGTGCTAGCTGGGCTGTACTCCCAGCTTGTTATGCACCTGGCCAAGCAGGAGAAGCTCAAAAAGTCCTTGAGTAGTCTGAGCACTACTTGGCAACAACTGAAAACATCACTGTGTTATCAACATTCTTCTGGTACTAAATCCAAAACACAGCACTATGCTAGCTACTGTGAAGAAAATTAACTCTATCCCAGCCGAAACCAGGACACCGACATTTCCATAACTCCAGATTCGACCCTGTTTATTTTGAAAAATGTAAAAGTACTTTAGGTGGACTGGCAAAGATTGTCTCAAAATGTTTTTCTAGCAGCTGTTCACGAGCTCTTACCTCCCTCCCACAGGCACTCTAGTTCAGGTGTGTCCTGTCCTTGCGAGTATTAAGTAATAAGCTGCTTCAAAACCACCTGGAGCAGGAACAATCCCACATCAGAAGACAGAAATTGTTCTGCTTTTGTTTAGTTGGCGTACACGTTCCTTCGTGCATCTGGGAGGCACTGGTAGTCTGTCTACCCAAACCTGATTGCTATTTGGTAGCAGCTCAATTGCCCACAGGCAAAACTAAAGCTAAGGTGCATGCCTTCTGAAGGGGGGCCAGCTGGCAAAAATAGAGAACAATTTTCTTGAACTAATGCTTAGAAGTGCTCAATATCTAACACGGAATGAAAGGTTTGGGTGCGGGTTTTTTTCCCCTGTAGTTTTCTGTTTAGTCCTGGCTTTTGGAGGCCATGGAGCGATTCTAAAGAACTGAAAGGGAAAAACCTCAGGAAAAGGCCCTTCTGACTCATTTTGGCTAGGGACATCACAGAGTGATCTACTCTTGTTAAGCAGGGGTGAACTATGTGGCTAGGCTGTGACCATTTCCTGCTTTACTAATCTGTAGCTGTGAAAATGAAATAATCCAGCCATCTCTCCTTCTGTAGGAATACTTGATTGCATGTGATTAGATCAGAGAAAGCCTCAGTTTAACAATAGTCATCTGCCTTGTTTAAGCAAACTAGGATGGCCCCAGTTCAGTTTAGAACTATTCTATTAACGCAGTGTTTGTTTGTCATTCAAATGTACTATTCAGTCCAGCACAAAACACATAGCTGTACAAGGGAGTGGCCCAGAAGGGTGTGTGTGGGGTGCACAGGCTGAGATGTCTTTCAGAAGCTCCTGAGGAAACACTGAAAGGTATTCAGGGACAAACTAGATCTAGGAGAGGCTGAGAGCAAATGTAGCATGCAATCCAAATCCAGTCTGGGATGCCACGTATGAACACTTGCTGAAGTCAGGCCTGAAAGCACTATTAAAGCCAGGCTGCAGTTTGTGTCAGAAGAGGGAAAGACAAAGTTGATTTTAACAGTCTGGCTGTTATTTGAACGGTTTGTTACTAACAACAAAACACAGCAGGGTGTTACACTACGCAGGCAGCTGCTTAACTCGGACCCATTCTATGCGTCTGATCGTGTATCTCCTAGAGCTGTCCCAGCGTTGCTGACCCATTTGTCCACATCTCCCCTACATGCTCCCAGCTCCTATGCTTGCCTTCTAGCTGCCTGCTATACAAGGAATAACGTCCTTTTATTTTGGACTACAAAGTTACTATACCATCCTCCATTGCAGACATTCTTGTCGTCTGCTCCACAATTTAATATTGGTTGATGCAGCCTTACTGACCGGTGTATGATTTTATTTGATGTAGAATGAGTTATCCATTTTCCTGAGAAAAGCCTCAGCACTCTCCTTTGGTAAGTGGGTGTATATATATATAAAACTGGGTTTGCTTGTGAATATATATATATATATATATATACGTATGTAAAAAACTGGGTTTACTTGTGAATTACAAAGCCACCTTTCGCTGGTATCAAATGGCGCTCTACTTTTGAGAGCATAGCTTTGCCCATACAGTTTTTAACATGGAGCTTGCAGCGCGTACGGTTAAACAACAGTGCCAGTAGCCAGGCAAGTAGTTTGGAGCATTTACCAGAGGCATTAGTAGTGTCTGGGGTAGCCTCAACTTAAAACCTTGAAGGTTAATTTGAGTAGTTTCCCTCCAAGAGTCTCTTGCCATCACAAACAAGGCTATGTTACCCATCTCGGATATATATTCCAAAGCCCATTTTGGAAGTGGATTTGCTGAGGAGTTTCCTCAGAGCTTCTTTGAGACTAAATCTCCCCCAAATCAGACATGGGTTTCTATACCTCCTGAAATAAACTGTTGTACCTTGCTAAGTCATCCTTCTGAAGAGCCACATTGCTACTCAGTCTGCATTTTTCCTTATGTATATGCCCTCTCTTGATTCAGGTGGATCCTGATCAAATATCACCTCACCATCTAACTGCTGGCACGTAACTACTCGTTGCCAAGCAAGAAGTTTTTTTATCGTGTCCAGTTTCCTGCCTGTGAATTAGTACTTGCTTAAACACAAACGTGAAACAACAGTATCTAAATAAGGAACACGTTCATGCCACTGAAACAGAAAGGTTCTCTCTGTGGACCAAGGGAATAGTAACATCAGCACAACATGTGGGAGGGAACTGGTGCAGTTTTAGTAGGAGGAGAGCTGTATCTGTGCTACTTCTGTCAACTTTCAGTGACTGTAATGACATGGACTTTTCCAACCGATACACAAAACTGACTTTTTGTCCACCTGGTGAAACCCATAAACTCTTGATGTTCACAGAGAGGCTGTAGCATCCCGAATGACAGTCAGCAAATCAACCCAGACTCCACTTGAGACCCAAATCACGAAAAGGACTGAATCCATGGGCTCCTAAGAGTGAGTTTGTATGCACTGTGTTGCTTTCTTTGTAAACAAGCAAACCCCAATCACTGCGTAACTTTACGTCCAGACAGTGGTTACTCAATACTCTTGCCCTTTCTACTTCAAAACAGTGGCTGTATTTGGTCTGACTGAAAGAGCCTCCTGTGGGAAAGGCACAGAAGTACTTCAAAACAGTGGCTGTATTTGGTCTGACTGTGGGAAAGGCACAGAATGAAAAGGCAGGCTTTCTAGATCAAGAACCAGTGCATGGATGTACAAGAATGACAGGCTGCCGAGCAGAAAAATAAATTCACCGCTGAATCCCAGGCAGCTACAGACTTGTACCAACTTTTCCTTTTACCTAGCTGACAAAGTAGTCTGCGAGACAGTGCTTTACATCTCAAGCATATTGAGCTTTACACAGAAGACAGGCTATACTGGAGAGGCAGTCATCCCAAAGCATGTGCTCTTGTGATCTTTTAAGTTTGCATAGCATAATGAATATGCGGTAAAGTTGGGTTTTTTTAACTATTTACATATTTCCAGTGGTATATTAGTGTTCTGATTTAAAAAAGATCTGAAGGGAAGGAGATTTACACATGACATATAGAGGTTCTTCTTTAACTGCCCTAACATCCAGACAGCCTAGTTATGACATAGTTGTAGTGGGCCACAAATTATACTTTCATATTGAGTGATATTTTTCCAGATTTCTTCTTTTAGCAGTAGTTGGAATTGGAGGGTTTAGATTTATGAAATGTCTCAGAATTTGCATCCTTTATTTTTATTTAAGGCTGATCATGTGATTCATTTCCTCCAGCCCACGTGTATAGCTCTTCTGTACTTGCATCTCCTCAAAGACCATAACTAGTTATCTTGCTCTCCATTGGCAATAACCTGACAGGATTGTCAAAGTAAAGTACCTTATCAATATGACATAATCTTATTAATGAATGTTAAGGACGTGACAAGTGCTTTTTTATTCACTGATGTTCTTAATGGCCCTGTTTGACCTGTTCTTTCCATTGATCTTCAAGGATTGTCCCTTGCTCTCACAAAGGCTACCTAAAACATGGAAAGCAGTTGTTTAGCCTCAGCAGTTAGGCTCCATCTGTGGATCAACTCTATCAATTTCCCATTCTGCAGCTACTCA